GTGTGGCAGGTCCCAGCAGGGTGGCGCGGGAACAGGGTGAATTTCACAGTCCAGTCCACCCTCTACAGCCGAACTGGGCACCATTTTGTATAGGGAGGCAAAAGCTATAGGATGGTACTGCTCATGTACTAAGCTGAGAGTGAGCTCATTTCTGCCTCAGTAAGCTGTAACAACATGGCATCCTACAGGTTCTACCCAAGATAGGTCTGGGTAGCCCTCAGACCTGACAGCCAGAATATCAGGAACTCTAGTAGTGGCATGCCAGGCACCATTTTGTACAGTTTGGCAAAGGCTTTAAGACTGCAGGGACAACAGTGAGCTGCACATGTGAAGAGCTGGGAGTGAACTCGCTGAGCTCAGTGCATTGCTCTAGTCCCACAGGGAAAATAATACTAACTTAGCGTCGTACGGGTCAAAAGAGGTCTGTGTAGCTCTCAGACCTAACAGTCAACAGGTTCAGCAAGACCAACACCACCAACAACCTAGTTATATAGGACACCTGGTGTCTCCCTAATCCTGGGAACTGCTCTAGCAGGAAGTGGGAGAAAGGTTGTACACAAAACAGTGTAGCCTAAGGATGGTATCACAGGAGGTGAAGAGTGGTGAGCCAGGAGCTGGGGATAAAGAGACCATGAGGGAAGTCTAACATAAGATCCCAGATCTGGAACTCGCTGGAGGGAGTGGCACAACTGCAAACACAGAGCCGTGTGCCAACCATAGTAAGTAAAATCGAATTGTAGATTTGTGAGTGACACAGCTTAGAAACCTGCCCCAAGGAGAAAAATCTGCTAACCAGAAGTACAATGACCAAGAGCAAAGAAGAGACAGAGGTACAATGAACATTACTGAAGACGCCCCTGCAAAGGATTGGCCTTTGCCAATCTCAGAGTTCACTGAAGAAGACACTGAGAAAATAGGGGATGCAGAATTCAAACACTTTTTTTTTAGATTTATTTTATTTTTATTGGAAAGGCAAATATACAGAGAGGAGGAGAGATGGAGAGGAAGATCTTCTGTTCACTGACTCACTCCCCAAGTGGCTGCAATGGCTGGAGCTGAGACAATCTGAAGCCAGGAGCCTGGAGCTTCTCCCGGGTCTCCCACATGGGTGCAGGGTCCCAAGGCTTTAGGCTGTCCTCGACTGCTTTCCCAGGCCACAAGCAGGGAGCTGGATGGGAAGTGGGGCTGACCAGGATTAGAAGCAGTGCCCACATGGGATCCCGGTGTGTTCCAGGCAAGGACTTTAAAGATTTATTTTTATTATTTTTTCATTGGAAAGGCGGATATACAGAGAGGAGAGACAGAGAGGAAGATCTTCCGTCCGATGATTCACTCCCCAAGTGAGCGCAACGGGCCGATACTATGCCGATCCGAAGCCAGGAGCCTCTTCCGGGTCTCCCACGCGGGTGCAGGGTCCCAAAGCTTTGGGCCGTCCTCGACTGCTTTCCCAGGCCACAGGCAGGGAGCTGGAAGGGAAGCGGGGCTGCTGGGATTAGAACCGGCGCCCATATGGGATCCGGGGCGAGCAAGGCGAGGACCTTTAACCACTTGCGCCACTGCGCCGGGCCCGAGGCAAGGACTTTAACTACTAGGGCATTGCCTGGGCCCTGAAAACACTTGTTATAAAGCTTCTTATCAACAACAAGAAGCACATAATACAGGAGTTCAAGCAATTTAAGCAATATGTCATACAGGAAATGAATCAAATGAAAGCTGATATATCAGAAATGAAGAATACAGTGGAGCAAATTAAAAGTACAGTGGAGCGTCTCCAAAATAGAATGAAGGAGGCAGAAGAAAGAATCTCAAAATTAGAAGATTTCCTGGGCTTGGAGACATGGCCTAGCAAGCTAAAATCCTTGCCTTGAATGCACCGGGATCCCAAATGGGTGCCGGTTCTAATCCTGGAAGCTCCACTTGCCATCCAGCTCCCTGCTTGTGGCCTGGGAAAGCAGTTGAGGACAGCCTAATGCTTTGGGATCCTGCACCCGTGTGGCGAGACCTGGAGGAAGATCCTGGCTCCTGGCTTCGGACTGTTGCAGCACCCGCCATTGAGGTCACTCGGGGAGTGAATCATTGGACAGAAGATCTTCCTCTCTCTATCTTTCCTCCTCTCTGTATATCTGACTTTGTAATAAAAATAAATAAATCTTAAAAAAAAAAAAGAAGATATTTCCTGTCACCAAAGGGAAAAAAAACCAAAAATCCAGAAGCAGAGCTGGATCAGGCTAAAAAAAAAAAAGTATTCAAGAGTTGAAAGACACTATTAAAAGGCCAAATGTAAGAGTTATGGGAGTCCCAGAAGGTACAGAAAGAGAAGCTGGGTTTAAAAATATACTCAATGAAAAAATAAGGGAAAATTTCCCTAATCCTGAGAAATTGTGAAACAACATGCAGGAGGGGCACAAAACTCCCATTAAGGTTGAACAAAAAAACAATCTTCACCACGACACGTGATCATCAAGCTCTCTGCAATTGAACGTAAGGAAAAGATCCTTACATGTGCATGTGAAAAAAAAAATCAACTGATATATGAAAGAATGCCAATTAAATTCACAGTTGATCTCTCACAGGAAATTGCAAGCCAGAAGAGAATGAAGTAATATATTCTGGATTCTAAAAGAAAAACTTGTCAGCCCAGGATAATGCAACCAACATAGCTTTTCTTTGTCTTTGAAAATGAAATTAAATTCTTCCACAGTAAAGAAAAGAAAAAAGAATATGCCTCTTCCCAACCTGCCCTACAGATGATACTTAAAGATGTTCTCTTGACAGAGAAAAGGAATAGCGCCACCAAAACCAAAGGAAAATGTGAGGAACATCCCAGTAAAATAACAACAGAAGACTAAATCAATGAACAACCCATTCCTAAAATGACGAGACCAAATTACCACCCATTCATATTAACCCTGAATGTGAATGGCTTAAACTCATCAAGCAAACGTCATAGATTAGTAGGCTAGATTAAAAAACAAAACCCATCTACCGGTTACCTACAGGAGACACAGTTCATCAACAAAGGACAGTGGAAACTGTATCTCATGGATTTTGATTTTTTTTTTTTATTTTCATCTCATGGAAACATTTTCTCATTAAATTCTCCACTGACTCATAGATCATATAGTAGCACCATTTTCTTCAAGGTTCTTTATTTTCTTTTTCATTTCTTCAGCAACACATTAATCATTCAGTAGCATGTTATTTAACTTCATGGCATTTTAAAATTGTTTTTCTTTCTGTTGCTGATTAATAACTGTGTAATGGAGACTATCATATCCAGATGTGAGGATACAATGCAGTATGCATCTCTACTTCCAGATCAAAGATGGACTCCCAATGAAACTGTTAACTATATCTTGACAATAAGATGCTGGACTCTCTGCCATTGTCCATGCCCGCAATGATGGACATATGACTATTCATGAAGTACTATAATGTAGTAATAATATAGGGGAACTCATTGTGGGGGAGAGGATTTGGGGAGAGGGCAGGGGAAATCCCAGAGCCTAGGGAACTGTATCACAAAATGATAATAATAAAAAAGAAGTAAAAAAAAAAAAAAAAAGAAAAGAAAAGAAAAGAAAAATTTAAACACTAAATAATCATCTGACCAAAAATTACAAGTATTTTGAAATAAAAAGAGATATGGTGTGCAGGGTGGTGGGATAAGAGAACTATCTTCTTGCCTTCACAGTGGGAAGTCAACACACAATGTCTAAATGTTTTAAATTAACACAATTATATTGTCAATTCTTTGCTAGAAATATGGAGGTGAATGTCAGAATAGCTTGAAGAATTAAACATATTAGCCTAAGAAATAGATGGGAAGGTAGTAGGGGAAGATTGCCTTTCTTTATCTTTCTGAGTACTGAACTGTTTTGACTTTGAAAATCATGTACACACATTTGTTTGACAGAAATAAAACTAAGCTTAAAAAAGTTTAGCAAGGCTAAATAAAAGAGAAAATGAAAATGCCCCTATTGAAAACTAACTTATCATTTAGGAAATAGTCTCTACTCTAGAGGAAATAAGGGTGAAAATTTATTTGGAAAAATACCTTTATTGCTTTTCATGATTTGTCTTTACTTTAAAAATGAGATAGAGCTGGTAAAGTGTGAGCATTGTTGCACTACATGAACTGGATAGGAAAGCAATTCACTCTTTCACTACCACCCACCTCACCATATCTTTGGGATCACATAAACCATTGAGGACAACCTGAAGGCAAAGACTCGCCTTTACATACAGACTTGAGTATTAATTAGCAAGGGTCATTTACAACAACCACTAGGGGGCCCGGTGTGATAGCTTAGCAGCTAAACCTGACCTTGCATGCACTGGGATCCCATATGGGTGTGGATTCATGTCTTGGGTGCTCTATTTCCCATCCTGCCTCTACTCACAGCCTGGGGAAGCAGCAGAGCACGGTCTGAAGCCCTGAGACCCTGCACCCATGTGGGAAACCCAGAAGAAGCTCCTGGTTCCTGGCTTTGGATCAGCTCAGCCCAGGCTGGTACAGCCACTTGGGAGTGAACCAGCCGTTGTTAGATCTCTTTCTGTATGTTTGCCTTTCCAATAAAAATAAATAAATTTTTAAAAAAGAAAGAACCCCTAGGACAAAAACGTTTAATCATTTGCCAATTCATGTGATGTCTACTTTCAGTCTCTTCCCAATTCACACCATAACCCAAATAATCTGTCGGGACAAACTCTTCTCAGAATCCAATCATTTATCAGAGTACCATGTCTTGACAACTAGGGACCATGTTTATTCAATATTCTCAAACTTAAATGTCTGTGCATAAGGGAAGGTATCAGATCAAATGGAATAAAAAGTACAGGTCCTTTACTCTGAATTATATTTCCTTTATAAACCAATATAACTCGAGCTGCACTACGCATAACTGTGTTGTTTTTTCATCGCCAAAAATGGCGTGGTGTCCTCTTCATGTTCAGTTAGACACAAACGGCAACAAATGCTGCTCTCGGAAACAGTTTACCTGGTACTGGAACTGAATGGGCTGTAGCTGGCTGTCATTCTGGGTGATCTTCCTAGCCAGGGCCTCCTTCAGAGCAAGGGCTTTATTCAGCTCAATCAGCTCCTTGGACATCTGAGCTTGCCGCAGAGCATGCTGAGTGGTGAAAGCATCAGACGACCTGCTCGTGTCTGGACTGCTTTCTGCCTGCTGCAAAAGAACAGGGTGACGATTTGTAAGAGAAATACAAAGCAACTGCGGTTTCTGAGGCACCATGTCACCAAGTCTTGGCCACTCCTCCCCTAGCAGCATGCCTGCTCCTTCAGCACTGTGGCTTCTCATACAACATTTGCGTCAAACATTTTGCAATCAATGGAGCTCGCCTATGCCTCTACTCTCACAAGTACTGATTTCCTGCACGTTTTAATTGATTCCTTTAGATTCAACTAAGTTTGTTGCTCATCCATCAAGTGATCTGGTCAGCATTTTTCACGTACAGCTTATCCCAGGGAGTTCTCAACGTAAATGGTGGAAATGAAGGGCAGGGCTCATCCTATCTTACATAGCTGACCTGCAGCACCTGAGTGATTTCCTACCTTCCTTCTTGCAGAATACAAAAAGTATCAAAGAAAATTCATTTTAGAGGTAAAAAAACAGTTTTAGTTTGGCTAGTCTTTGATTTTGACTTTATAACTTTTATTCCATATAATACATTATTCTATTCTTGCAATCTGAGCTATCAAAATATTTTCCTTGGTTCTTTTACCCCCTAATCATTTCATCTATAGAAAAGTATGTGGAGGGGGAAAAAAAGGCGTCTCGCATTTTTCCTCTAATGATTTTCTGCCTTGACCATAATTCCCTAGTATTTTTCTTCTCTTCCTACTAACTTAGTCAATAGGTGATAGAGCTCACTAGCATCTGACAAGAACTTAGAAAGCCAGATTGTAAATACAGCTGTGGCATACCTGAAAAGCCCTCCAATCCATCACCAGTTGCTATTACTGTGACAGAGCAAGCCTGTGCCTATCCATAGCTAGGGATTTTATGAAGCTGAGATTTATGCTAAGGATTTCTGTATTTCCATGGCCTTCTATGGAGAATGGTAACAATCACAGATTCTTTTATTTAGTCTAGTAGTAAATTATGGAAAGTGGCACAATTAAGAGTTCCCAGTTTCCCACAAAGGGACCCATTACTTACAGCTTCTGGTTCTACCGCAGTATCAATGGCTGCAGCCATGCAAGCAGCAGTTTCATCCTGCAAAGACAAATAGCTCAATTTAGGAAAAGATTTGGAAATACAGCTAACTAGTGGAGCTGATCCTGGTTACTTAATTTTTTTTTCAATTGTACATAGTCTTAGATACCCCAACAGCCACAAGTTTCCATCCCCTATCTCTCAAGAGTCTTTTCTTCTTCATAAAGGGCAAATGTGTGGTCTTTAAAAGAAAATAAAATCACGCGGCAACTAACACATTTACAGAGCTTCTGCTCTGCCATCTGCCAGAGATCACTGGGCCAGAGTGAAACACTTCGCCATTCGAACAAGCCAAAGTTTAAGCCATTTTATAAGCGCTAGCCTTTCTTTTTATGCTCCCACCACCAACTGTCCTATTAATATACAAACCTAGCCATTTCTTATGGGCATAACACATTAACAGTAGACACACAAGATAATGGCAATGAAGCAGAAAAGTAAATAGAAAATGTTAAAGCTTAATTACAGGTAGTCAAGGTAGCAATATCTTCATTTATGACGAAATAAATTTTACAGGGTGAATACCCTGAAAAAATGGGCTCGTGAGATCAGACAAATGTACTGCAGCCTCTGTGCAAATAACATAGATAGATAGAAACTGATAATACGGAGTTATTCCGTATGTAGTTACTACAACTGGTTGTTGCTAGGAGGGAAAAGCTAAGCACTGATTTCCTCCCAGAGGATGGCAAATTCCTTCTCAGGGCAGTAGAACAACCACTGTTTAGAAAGAAAATCTGAAACCACTTATTAGCACCAATTTGTTTATAGACTATCATACGAGCAAGCTCTGGTCTCACCATTGGAATTCAGGCCTAATTTGGTATTCTAATATATGGATTACTGCAAAGCCTTTGATTCTTCAAAGCCTTGGGAAGAATGGATTATTTCCAGGAAGTCATGTGGTTAAGGAGGTCATAGGTCAAAGAGCTATTAACTTCATAGCAAAGAAAGAATTCAGGGTCAGTACATGGAATAACCTCTACTTCAACTCTGAGAAACAAAATGTAACGGTTGAAATTAGAATTTCAGTCTCTTTAAGATAAAGAGTGAAGCAGTCCTTATTAAGGGCTACTCAGAAAGATTCCCTTATTCTCCTAACGAGGTGCAAAGAGAACTTAAAGGAAAGCTCCGGGGTTCCTACCTACTTTCTACCATGATTGCAGTACTGGTGATCCTCCAACTACAGGACATACTACATCTTTCTTTAAAAAAAAAAACAGTGCAGTCAGTTGGTTAGTGGGTAACCATTGCATCCTTCTGCATTACAAGCTTTAGAGTAAGAACTAGCTAGACACACATCCTAGATTATTAGGGATTATTGTGCTGGGTATTGGAGATTTTTTTTTTCCTAATAACTTTCAGTCAGGATCAAAGTAGATGGATTAATCCTTAAAGAAGCCATGTTGTCACTGTGGGGTTTTTCCTTTGACTGTTGGCCCAGTGAAATTTCACAGTGTTAAGGTTTAAGCTTAGGGCAGGTGACATGTTCTGTGTGAATATGGTAGGAATGTGTCATCATAATCCAAAATGTAAATATGTAACAATGGGATCTATTCACTTTTCTCTGTGTGCCCACATTCTAAGGTCATATCTGAGAACCTCTAAAATAAAAAAAAAAAAAAAGAGAGAGATTTAAAGGATACCAGGGGAATGAGACTAGGGTACATTATATTACATTAATCAGCAAAACTCTTAAAAATGAGGTTTGTGCTTGTAATAAGTAATATCATTACGGGGCATGCAAAAATGCTTGATATAGAACTGGTCTTGGAGGAAGGAATCTAAACGACCAAAAAAATGTTTTGATTTTGTGGGACTGAAATGACTGCATGAATTTCCTCCTAGGTAACTGTAGCAAGGAGGCTTGCTCGAGTTATACTTAAAGGAAGAAATGGCACAGTTTAGTACTCAGAGCCCCAGGAGGAATATCCAGGAACAATAGTTGCCTTCCTGACGAGAAAAGGGGTATTCACCCATCACTAAAAATAAAAAATGGTTTTAATCTAGAATGAAGGGCACAAGCACTTACATTTGAAACATTTTGCTTTTACTGTAGTGAGCCTTAATAAAAGCCACAGGATACACTGTTATGTATTTTCAAAAAAAAAAAAAAATGTAGCTAGGCGGGCCTACAAACAATAGATGTGAAGAATTCGGATTCGAGAGTCCAGCAGGAGCCAGGGATAAAAAGGTTTACTCTGCCTAAGTGTGAGAGTGGATGGAAGCCAGGGACTTTATCAGCTTGTGGCAATCTTTACAACCCTCCTACTGTGTGTGCTGAGTGCATTTTTTGTGGCAGACAGCAATTGTACAACATTCTCTTGAGCCAGGCACCAATAGCGACTCTCTCTACGGGCGCACCAGGAACCAGTCAGACTGCCAGCTCCTTACTGAGGATGCTTTACCTTATTTTAGTAATTTGATTCCATGCCTTTCCTACATGTTTCCCATGTGGCTCAAAGCCCCAGAAAGCAGGTGGTGGGAAATCCTCTAAGATTGCTGTGGTGGCTCTGAACAAAGGAGCCCGGGATCACTACTGTCTGAACTTAGACATGTTGGCTGCAGCGGGATTCTGCAGCTGAGGTTCTCTTAATCCTGAGGCAGCTCACGTGATGTTTGTATATATCAGATGTTTCAAATATGTTCAAATAGAATTACAGATGGTGAAATTAAACCTTGATAGTTATTTTCTAGCTCACGCACAGCTTCAGCCACACTGAAATTCTTACCATTTTCTAAAACTTTTAATACCTCTTGGTTTTTGCATTTGCCTTTTCCTCTATGTGGATTGTCTTTATCCACTAGTCCGCATGGCAAGCACTATTGTTTTCTTTCAATTAATTATCTTTTAAGTGAAAGGCAGACCAGAATTACAGAGAGAAGGAGAGACACAAAGATCTTCTATCCATTGGTTCATTGGTTCAATGAATCTTCTATTTGTTGCAGTCCCCAGATGACTGCAGTGCTGGAGCCAAAGCCAGGAGCTAGGAGCTTCCTCCGGGTCTCCTATGCGGGTGCAGGGTCCCAAGGCTTTGGGCCATCTTCTACTGCTTTCCCAGGCCACAGCAAGGAGCTGAATAGGAAGTGGAGCAGTCAGGACACAAATAGGCGTTCATACAGGATTCTGGTGCTTGCAAGGTGAGCATTTAGCCATAGAGCTATTGCATTGGGCCCAGCTCCTATTCATTTTTAAGACTCTATTTCTTCTATGATGCCTTCCTGATTGGAAGCAGAGGTGTTGGGACTTCCACAGATCCTCCAATATAGGATTTGGGTATCCCAACCTGCAGCCTAACCCACAATGCTATAGATGTGCCCTTTCATTTACTGCTTTTTCTTTAAGATTTATTTGTATTGGAAAGTCAGATTTACATTTCGAAAGGAGAGACCTGAAAGAAAGGTCTTTCATCTGCTGGCTCACTCCCCAAGTGGCTGCAATGGCTGCAGCTGGGCCAATCTAGAGCCAGGAACCAGGAACTTCTTCTGGATCTCCCACATGGGTGCAGGGTCCCAGGGCTTTGGGCCGTCCTCAACCGCTTTCCCAGGCAGGCCACAAGCAGGGAGCTGGAATGGAAGTGGAACAACTGGGACATGAACCGCTGGCAGGATGGGATCTCGGCAGATACAAGGTGAGGATTTAGCCACTAGGCTATCATATTGGGCCCAATTTTACTCCTTCTAAAAATTGTTCGTTTATTCATTCTACTGGCTTTTCAGGGTTATTTTCACTTTAGAGCTATCTGAATAATGCAGCTTGAAGCATTCAGATACAAACCCTTTAGGGACATAGGCACACATTTCTGTTGAATCACAGTGAGGGAAGGTCATAAGGCATGTACATACTCTTCCTTTTTGAAAAAAAAAACATTTATTTTGAAAGTTATATAGAGAGAGGGAGAAATAAGGTAAAAGGTGAGATCTTCCATGTACTGGTTCACTCCGTAGATGGCCACGACAGCCAGGGCTGGGCCAGGAGCTTCATCCAGGTTTCCCCACGTGTAGCCAGGCCATTAAGGGAGTTGGATCAGAAGTGGAGCAGCTGAGATATACACTGATGTTCATAGGTGATGCTAGTATCACAGGTAGTGGCCTTATTCGCTTTGCCATAACACCATTTCCTTATATGCTCTTCAAGGGTAAATCTATGTGTGGATCATTTTGTGATAACCTTATTTATAACCCTACAAAACACTGGGCAAAACCAGGCAATGGGATAGTTAGTGTTCTGGTAAAAATTGAATCTCTGTCCAAGGATGGGGACTGGCCTAGTGGACAAGCCTCTGATTCAGATGCCTACATATCACAATAGAGTGCCGGCATTTGACTTCTGGTTCCAAGCTCCTGACTCCAGCTTCCTGCTAGTTAAGATCTTAGAAACACCAGTAATTGCTGAAGTAGTTGTAACTACACTGGAGACCTAGATTGAGTTCCTGGCTCCCAGACTCAGGCCCCTGCCCCACTCCCTGTTGTCGCAGGCATTAGTGGATGACATGGAAGATCATGTATACAGATATATATTTAAATAGAAGAAAATTTAAAACATCTGCTCAAGAGCTAGAAATTATCACCAGACATTCAAATATATACTACTTTTCCAGAGTAATAGATAAGAGAATTGGGGCTGGCATTGTTGCATAGTGATTTAATCTGCGGCTTGCAATGCCACCATCTCATATCGGGGTGACAGCTCAAACCCAGGCTGCTCAGCGCCTAATCTAGCTCCCTGCTGATGTGCCTAGGAAAGCAGTGAAGGAAGAACCAAACACTTTGGCTCCTGCCTTCCACATGGAAGATGCAGATGGAGTTTCAGGTGGCTGGCTTTGATCTGGCTCAAGCATAGCCCTTCTAGTCAATTGCGGAATGAAGTTCAGGATGGAAGATCTCTTCCTCTCATTCTGCCTTTCAAATACATTTTGTTTTAATTAAAAAAAAGAATTCATATGTAATAAAACCACACTGCATGTTATGACTCCAATATTTATGAGACGGATACATGATTAAAGATTAATACAAAAAACCATAACAAAAATTCAATTTTTAAGGTGGTTAAAAGGTAAGATTTTTTCTTTGAGGACAAAAAAAGAATTACCTCATCCCTGAAACATACCCACAATGACTATAATAGTTTGAAAAATTAAATAAAAATGGAACTTATAGCAGAACAATCATACAAATGTATTCATGGTCATAAAGGAGAGTTATGGTATTAACCGGTCACCTCTTATTAAGCTAGCCTACACTAAGAGGACAGCAAGTCAATGCCTATATGCTTTTGCTATCTAGACAATTTTGTATTACTATGCAGCCACTTGTGGCATTTGATTAGAATACTGAAAAACTAATGTGTCATTACATATGCAAGCATGAAGGTTTTAACAGATCCTATCCAATGGCCTATGATTTTTTTCTGTTCTCAGGTAGCTCAGGTAGATCTAGTTGTTTCAGCATAAAGCTCTGTTAGAAACGCTTAAATGCGTCAAGGGAAACAGCCAGGACTGGTACGCTTGCTTACGGTGCCCTTACGTGGCTTACCGATAGCTGAGTAATCACTTGCTGCAGGTTACGAATTATCTCTACGTTTTCTTTTAATTCTTCATCATCCACAGTCTCCACTAGCTTTTGCAGATCCAGCTTGCACCTGAAATTTCAAGCAAAACAGCCCAAGGGTTAACCAGATGATGCATGATCATATACGAAAGCAGTAGATGGCACTAACAAATATATATCAGGTAGGACACTTACGCTGCGTGCTGCCTGAGCTCTTCTAGCTTGGTGTTCATTTTTTCATTCGCTTGCTCTGTCTGCAACAAAGACCCAGGAGATCATCAGTGGCAGTACCTTGACAGCTTCTCCTAATGACGCTCTCTTTCTCTTACTCCTATGGATTAAAACCTACGTAGAAAGACTGCCTTCTGGATCATAATAGAGGATTTAGTGAGCTTTGGTTATTTAGTGAGAAATGTGTTTGTTTTTTTTTAACATTCATGAAAATTAGCCCTTCAGTCAACATGAGCTACTAAAGATAGCATCCAAGCAGCTGGGTTTTATCCCTGCCTTCTAACTGAGAGTACGGGGTGGAGTGTGAAGTCTTAATTCCATAGAGAACTTTGCAACTGGGGATGGGGGAGGAGGAAGCAATAATTCCTGGCATGCTACTCCTTGCTGCTTGCAAAAGAAATAAATAAATCACTTTAAACTGTCTTTTACACTATTCTGTTCCCTAGCCCCAGTAAAAGGGCTCTGGGAATATTAAGGTGCCTCACACTAAATCTGAGCCAAGATTTTTTTTAATGTTACGCTATTTGATAGGGTAAGCTAGTTTTAGCAAAAGAAAGCAAGGAAAAGGGTGAGGCCCAAGAACGATGTTAGAGAAAACGGAACGGCAGAAAAAAGAAACAGCAGAAGGCAGCTACGCTTTGGGAAGAGCGATTGATATTCTCGGTTTTATTTCAATCACAGTATCTGTAACATGCTGGATCGCAACAGATTTGGGAAGGACAGCTTATATAGGACAAAATGTTGTGCTTGTCATGAAGTTGCCACAGAATCTCAAGCAATAAGCCTATCAGGCAATCATTGTAACAACCTTATAAAGGTCAGGTGTGTACGTGGCTAGATTAACAAGTGCTGTAGGTTAGGTCAGCAGCACTCCCAGACGTGTAAAACATGCCTTCTACAGTGCCGCAAAGGCTTGAAATGCAGCACTGGACACAGAACACTGGATATGAAATTCCTCTAGATCACATTTTCACTCTTGCGCTAGTAATGGACAATACAGTGGATGGAAAATTTGGCTCCATTCAAAGAAACCTTCTCGCAGTTTACCTTCCCTGTTTAGAGAGCACACCGATGCATGCACATGCATACTCTGCAAAGGTTCGGTTACATTGCGCTGAAAGCTCATTTTTGTTCCTGGCAATAGTTGTGCTATCAGAGACCGAGCTGCACTCAGACGAGTAGAAAAATGTTAGTGACAGAGCCAGCACATATGGACCCAGGAGATTAGCTATTATCAGACAGACAGGTAGCAAGATTCAGATCTGGTGTAATCAATTACATAGTGATCCACTATTAGAAAATTAACCATATGGAAAATGAATTGAAATTAATTTCCCAGCTGTTATATTTCACCATGGCAGCTGTTCAGAAGGGATACGAAATGTGATAGCATGAGGGGAAGCAAGACACGTAAGAATTAAAATGAACGAGGAACAGTAACTTGGTACAGGTTAAGAATCTCTTAATCCCAAGTGTTTTGGATCTCAAATTCTTAAAAAAGTTTTTGGAATGCTCATGTATGCATACACATAATGAGATGTCTTAGAGATACGGCCCAAGTCTAAATGTAAAATGTATTCAACGTTTCACATATGCCACATATAACATACCCTGAAAATAAACACATGGCAGGGCCCGGCACGATAGCACAGCAGCTAAAGTCCTCGCCTTGCACGCACTGGGATCCCATATGGGCGCCGGTTCTAATCTTGGCAGCCCCGCTTCCCTTCCAGCTCCCTGCCTGTGGCCTGGGAAAGCAGTTGAGGATGGCCCAAAGCCTTGGGACCCTGCACCCGTGTGGGATACCCAGAAGAAGCTCCTGGCTCCTGGCCTCAGATTGGCTCAGCTCCAGCCGTTGCGGCTACTTGGGGAGTGAACCATTGGACAGAATATCTTCCTCTCTGTCTCTCCTCCTAATAAAAATAAATAAGTCTTAAAAAAAAAATCATGGCATTTTAATGTACTCATATTTTTACTGTAACCTGTCACAAGAGGTCATATGTGGGCTTTCAACTTGTGGCATGGTATTGGCATTCAAAGAGTTTCAGATTTTTTAGCGTTTTGAATTTCAGATGAGGCACATTCAACCTGCACTAAGGAGAAAAAACAGGCAGGACTTAAGTGACAGGGGGACTTGGTTCTTTCCTTCCTGGTCTTAAAGGGAGATACATGTAGAGTCCTGGTGGTGCATATTACAGGCATTCACTGCTTTTGCAACTTTTCTATGCATCAGATGACAAGTTCATGTGTTTATATGCAAAAGACTGCCCTGCGGCGACACACACACTTCTCTTTCCACATAACTCATCTCTCACAATGAGAAGCAATTGAAATATTTTGGAAACCACAAGTTTTAAATTGTGCAGGCTGCTGGTAGTTTCCTCTTGGGGCCTCACCAAAATGATCCTCTCCAACATCTGAGCTGTCTGACCAGCTGCCTCACTCAGCCCACGACTTAATTTTTCATTCTCCTCTGCCAGGGATTGATTCTTCTCCATCAGGGATTGTAGATTCTCGGATGGTTCCACACTAAAACAAAGAAAGTGGTGGATTAGAAAAATATCTGCCAAATAATGCATATATCAAAAGTGAATAAACACATAGCCTATAAAATCTGTTGGTGGGAGTTAGGATAAAACCACCTCCCAGAAGTCTGGGGAAAAGGCTAAATTTTCCTAACCTCCCTGTAAGGTGGTATATTACATAAACAGGAAGCACATCCCTAACGTTCTTAAGTGGTGAGCCTGGAGCAGTAGCGTAGTGCCTAATGTCCTTGCCTTGCATGTGCCAGGATCCCATACAGGCGCTAGTTCTAATCCCATCGGGTCCGGTTCCCATCCTGCTCCCTGCTTGTGGCCTGAAAAAGCAGTTGAGGATGGTCCAAAGCCTTGGGACCCCACACCTGCATGGGAGGCATGCAAGAAACTCCTGGCTTCAAATTGGCTCAGGTCCAGCTGATGTGGCCACTTGAGGAGTGAATCAGCAAACAGAAAGATCTTTCTGTTTCTCCTCCTCTCTGTATATGCCTTCGAATAAAATAAATGAATCTTACAAGTTCTTAAATGGTGTGAGGAAGGTACTAATACAAGTCAGAAATCATTTTTAATGAGAATGCTTTTAAAAAGATTTAGGAGCTAGCAGGCAGGCATGGTATTTCAGGCTAAGCCTCTGCCTGCAGCACTCCATATGGGCACCAGATTATGTCTTGATTGTTCCCATCCAGCTCCCTGCCTGTGGCCTGGGAAAGCAGTCGAGGACGGCCCAAAGCCTTGGGATTCTGCACCCACATGTGAGGCCAGGAAGAAGCTCCTGGCATTGGCTCAGCTTTGGCCTTTGTGGTCATTTGGGGAGCAAGCAGATGGAAGATCTCTGTCTCTCCTTCTGTTTCTGTCTCTTTCAAATAAAAATCTAAAAAAAGCTATTTTAAGAATCTTATTTGAAAGGCAATGTGACAGAAAGGGAGCAAGTCCAAAGCGAGGAGCCCTGAACCCCATCCTGGTCTCCCCCCCCCCGAGTGGCATGGACTCAGGCACCAGTGACATCCTCTGCTGTCTTCCCAGTAATATCAGCAGGAAGATGGATCAGAAGCAGAGGCGTTAGGACTCGAACTGGCATTCTGACATGAGATTCAGGCATACCAACTGACAGCCTTGCCTGCTCTACCATAATGTTTACTCCAACCAGAGTGATTAATCGTTAGCCTGGCTCTTGGTTTAAGGTCTTTCTATTTTATGTTATATAAGTAAGTAACTGACTAAATACTGTTAAAATATGTTCTTTGCTTCTTCTTCCTACCTTAAATCTTTTTTTTAAGTGAGAGATTAATTAATGTATGTATTTGAAAGGCATAGCTACAGTAAGAGGGGACAGAGACAGAAAGAGGGGTAGAAAGAAGGAGGGAAGGAGGGAAGGAGGGAAGGAGGGAGGGAGGGAGGGAGAGAGGGAGAGAGGGAGAGAGGGAGAGAGAGAGAGAGAGAGATATTCAATTCACTGGTTCACTCCCCAAAATGTTCACAATAGCCTGTGCTGTGCTTCGGCAGCCCGCAGCCAGGAGCTCCTTCTGGGCCACTCATGTGAGTTCAAAGCCCGGTTATTTGAGCCATCTTCTGCTGCTTTCCTAGGTGCATGAGTGAGGAACTGCAATAGAGCAGTTGGGGCTTGAACCAGAGGCCTGGCATTGTAGTTAATGGCTTAACCTACAATGTCACCCCCTCAATTCCTCACTAAAGGCTAGGGAAGTAAGAAAGGAACAGGTCTGGAGCAGGCAGAAGGGTAACTACTGAGGATTAAAATTCAACCTGACCAATACAGGCTGATTATGCATTTGCTGTAAAGTTAGGAAAATAATATTTAAGAAGTCAGAAAGCTGAAATGAAGTCCAGTGGCCACTAAAAACACATCTCATACATTTTTTTACCAACAAGTGCTCCCTTCTAAATTCATGTGTAGCTTGGAAATGATAATCCATGGTTTCCCAATTTCAAACTGCTTAGAATGGTTGGTGGCCACAATCATATTCATTACAGATATGATTAAAAGGGAGAGACAGAAATAGCTTGAAGGGATACATGCAAATAAGAATCTTTGGAACATAAGCAAATTGCTTGATTACATCAGCCCTCAACTAATGAAGTGGATCAATAAAAAGCAGTTTTGCTTTGCCTAATCCATTGGGATAAAATGTTCAAAGGGCTAGAAAATCTGGTTAAAAAAAGATCAGAAGAAATACGAAGATTTGATCTGAAGAAGACCGAAGGGAAAAGGAATAGTTGTCAAGGCTATGATAAAGAGGAAAAAGGACAGGGAGCAGCTGCTGTCAGTCTCAATAAAGGACAAACAGGGATTTTAGGAATAAAGTCAATGCCCTCTTGCTCAGCTTAAGGCCTCCATCAATTTCGTGTAGAGTATCTTCCTGCCCTTTCTCAAAAAGTTAATGGTAAGGTCACAGAATAAGGCTTTATAATCACAGTAGTAAGACTTCTGAAGGAATGTTCAATTAAATATGTGGATTTTAAACTGTTAATAAATTTCATATTATTTCTGATTGCTCTTTGTTTTTCAACTGAAAGCTTCCATGTGTTATTCATGTAAGTCAGCAAGCTCCAATGTAATTGAACAGTTTTTGTCCTCTGAAAAACGTTCAAGGTTTCTCTAAATTGAGGACTCACATTTAAGTCAACCGTTGATTTTTGCAGGGAAAATCCAGCACTTAGGGGTGGCCTCTTCACTGAAATCTGAGGCTTATATCTGAATATTTCAGTATTACAGGGATGAGCATTTAACCCAGTAGTTCCCAACCACATCATTATCCTAGGATGGAGAACAGCCACCCGAAGCCATGTAGGGCATAATCCAAGGGCACTGCTCAAGAGGTGTTGATAGTTCAATAGCTCTGAATTACTGCCGATCTTGCCATTCCAAGCACAATGAAATCTCTCCAAATCAGAGTAACTGGGTTCAGTACCCAGCTAGGGCTCTTGACCCCAACTCCCTGCCAATGTGGACTCTGGGAGTCAGTGGTAAGGGCTCAGTGAGGTCCCTGTCACTTAGGCTGGAGACCTGGACTGAGTTTCCAGCTTCTAGGTCAGGCATCTGGAGAGTGAACCAGAGGATGGTAGCTCTCTCTTTTTGTGTCTCAAGTTAAAAACAAAAACTACAAATCTATATACTTCTACAATTGATAACAAGAGCCAATATTCTTTTTAAAAACAGGTATCTTTGTTCTTGTTATTGGAGAAGCAGGCTACAGAGTGAATGGAATCAGTCTTCCACATACTGGTTCACTCTGTAAATGCTCTCAACAGTCACAGGTAGGCAAGGTCAAAAGCAGGAGCCATTTAGGTCTCCCATGTCACAGGTGGCAGAGTATTTAAGCCATCATTTGCTGCATCTCAGGATGTGATTTAGCAGGAAACTGGATGCAAAATGGACTTGTTGGGACTTAAATCAGGCACTCTGAAGCGGGATGTGTGCATCCCAAGCAATGGCTAACCCACTGCACCACAATGCCCACTTCAATAGTGGCGTGATGCTCTTACACAGCACTATGTGATCAGCTATATTTTAAGTGTTTTTCTGATAATAAACATTTTTCCCTCAACCGCCCTATGAAGTAGGTTCTATTGTTGTTACAATTTTACAATCAAGGAAACTGAGGCACGAAGAGACTAAAATAACTTAAAATGAAACAGTGAAGCTGGGATGTGAGCTCAGTATTTAATCTATGCAGTTAGAGATACTATGTGAACACAGAGAATATAGACTATAGAAGCTCTCAGAATATTAAGGACAAAAGAATTCTTTGCACAAGTTTTAAAGCAGTACAGGACCACCCCATGAAATAGGACACGCATATGATGGGGAAGACTTTAAGAGTTGCATGTGGATGTCTCAAGTGACTACTGTACCAAATGCCTGTCCCATGAAATTATTTTTTATAGTACATTCTAGATATTCAGAAGTCTAGAATGGTTTTCTTTGATCTTGTTTTTGTTACTCTGTCATTCATGAGATACATTTGTGTTAGGTTGAAAGAAAAGGAAGAGGGGCCAATTGCTTCTAAAATCAGTGCAATGAGATTAAGGTCTTTAAGAAATCCTATGGGGCCAAATTCTTTTCACTTAATCCATCATTCTTTTTTTAAAAAAGGTTTATTTATTTTTATCGGAAAGTTGGATATACAGAGAGGAGGAGAGACAGAGAGGAAGATCTTCCGTCAGATGATTCACTCCCCAAGTGGCTGCAATGGCTGGAGCTGAGCCGATTCAAAGCCAAGAGCCAGGAGCTCTTCCGGGTCTCCCACATGGGTATAGGGTCCCAAGGCTTTGGGTCATCCTCGACTGCTTTCCCAGGCCACAGGCAGGGAGCTGGATAGGAAGCAGGGCCACTGGGATTAGAACCAGCACCCATATGGGATCTTGGCACATTCAAGGCAAAGGCTTTAGGTACTAGGCCATGGTGCTGGGCCCTAATCCAACATTCTTAAAATAGTATTAGAAAATTCAGATTAAATTATCCAAAGGGGAAACATTAGAAATGAAAAGGAGGTTATCGATGGATTTTAAAATTATGGCAATTTTATGTGTTATTAGCACTTTCACAATTGTGCTGCAAGAGCAATGCACTACATGAAAAAATGGGTTATTGGAAACAAGGACAGTAAAAGAAAGCAGGCTCACATTATGTACAAGAATAAACTCCTAACAAAAAATAACATGCAAATAAATTAAAAGATAAATAGAATATTAATACTAGATGTAAACATGAGATAATTCTCCTTTTAACTCCGGTATAAAGACTTTCTAACTATGAATCAAAATCAGAAGTCTGGGGAGAATGTAAACAGTGTAGCCACTCTGAAATGTATTTTGGCAGTTTCAAAAAGAAGTAAATACACCACGAAGAAATTCCATTCCTGGGGATTCACCCAGTGCAAACATATGTTCACATAAAAACCTACAAGTGAATGTTTACAACAGCAGTATTTATCATAGCCCCAAACTAGAAAGAATAAAAAAAAATCTATTAACTGGTAAATGGATACACAAAATGTGTTCTATCCGGATAATGGAATACTACTCAATATTGGGAATGAACTATTGATACATGCTGTCATAGGGATGAGTCTGAACAACAGGAGTAAAGAAGCCAGGCAAAAATCAGCACAAACTGGATGATTCCAAGGATAGGAAATGTCCACAAGGGGCAAATCTACTGAGACAAAGGCACATTAGTAAATTGTCTTGGTCAGCAGTGGAAATGGGACGATAGCAAATGGGAATGAGAGGCCTTTCTCAGATGATGGCCATGTTCTACAACTGGATTATGGCCTAAGTCCCAGCTGCTCTGCCTCTAAAGCAGTGCCCTGTTAATGTGCCTGGGAAAGCAGCAGAAGATGGTCCAAGTGTCTGGGATCCTACCACCTACATGGGAGAGCCACATGGTGTTCCAGTCTCCTGCCTTGAGGCTAGCACAGCCCAACTCTTTCTGTTGCAGCCATTATGGTAGAGCTCCTCCTGTCTGTGTGTCTCCCACTTTTTAAAAAGATGTATTCATTTTTAATTGAAAGGTAGATTTTACAGAGAAGGAGAAACAGAAATCTTCCACAAGCTGCTTCACTCCCCAAAGGGCTACAACAAGTCAGAGCTGTGCCGGTCCAAAGCCAAGGAGTCTGGAGCTACCTCTGCATCTCCTGACGTGGGTACAGTGGTCCAAGAATCTGGGATATCTTTTGTTGCTTTCCCAGGCACATGAGTCAATCACAAAAGAACAAATACCATATGTTCTCTCTTAGATAAGGAAACCAGCACGGCAAGTGTAACTTCGATAATCTGATCCATACTGGTTTTTTTTGTTTTGTTTTTGGCTGCATTCCATGTGTTTTGATGTTTTTCATTTTAGTTTTATTCATTCCAAATACTTTCTTTTCTCTTGTTGAATCCATTGCTGGCTCATGGATTTTATATATATATTATATATTATTATTTATATTCACATATATTTGTATATTATATATACACATATACATGTACATATATGTAATACATATAATTATATAGTAATATAATTATATAATATGTATATAAAATAGCTATTTAAAAAGATATAAAAAATATGCTGCTTATGCATATACACATAGGGTGGTATAAAAAAGATGTTGCCACGCTCTACCCACGAGCAGGCCTGGAAGCAGTAATGCTGCAGTGAAAAGGAGTATATACAGTTAATGGTAACTAGCATTCAGATCTTGGTTCTGAATACCACTTTCCAAAAACGAAACCAGGGATCCTTAGAGATATGATTGATTCTAGAAGTGGGACATGGAAAATATGAGTTTGAGAAATCTTGTTACAGAATACAGGAAGCAACTGGAAAGTCTTGCTCAGAACAATCTGAGCAATAATACAAATGATCATATGGATATTAACCCATAGACTAAATATCCACAAGCCTATGCAAATACAACTAAATCATGTAATAAACAAACAGGGGAGAAGAGACAGCTCTTACTCATAGTAAAATTCCTTAACAAATTTTTGAGGCCAGAAGATCTTCCTAAGTGTATCAGGCTATTTCAAAAATAAAGTCCCAAATAACCAGCAAGGCTGGTAAAATACTTACCTTGATGCCATGTGCTGCCAAAAACCTGAGCATAATAAGAACAACAGCTCTCAGGATAAACAGCATCTACTAGAATACATATTTAAAATTGATCTGATTTTTCCTTCGGTTTCTTTTTCATATTTATTAATTTTATTGGTGTTGCTTGCATAGCTGACAAGAATGTAGAATTGATGTAATTCTTACTTTATAGATCCTGGCAGGGTACCTCCATGGGCTTGTAGCAACATGACCTGTAGCTGTTGTACCTGGAAGAAACAAAGAAAACTAATCAGCTAGTCACCAATCAAAAGCTATTCATCCATCCCTTGGCAATGAAATTAATACAATCAGCACCAGGGTAATTTTACTTAATGTCTATGAATTCTAAGGCACATCATCACAGATACTCCAGAAGGCACCAAAGGCTGATGAATCAAGCATAAGTGGTCAATCAGCGTTAATGAACAACTATTTAGAGTGAGTTGCAGCTTTTAACTAAACATCTCGATGAGCTTATGTTGAATGCCTAGCTTTAACATCAAACTGAGGACCAAGGTAAGCATTTGTGGGGACATACAAAAATCAAGTATGGTCCCTACTTTCAAATTCGTAATTTAGTTGAGGAAGACAAGCCTGAAACCAGAAATAGGAGGAAATAATGTTAAAACAGACATTGCCCGAAAGGTTCTACCTGAGTTATCAGGTAGAGTTCAGGGCTTTAGGGTTCTGAAAAGAAGCAGAATTAAAGAAACTCCACAAGGACCCAAAAGAGGCTTCCTAGAAATGGACCTTAAACTACAGCACAGGTGCAAGCTTCCTCTCCCTTTTCACCTGTGAAGGAAGGGTTGCTCTGTCCCCCGAGACAAGTCTCTAGGCTTGTGCTTTGGGGCCCCACTCTTCCTGCCTCCTTATGGAATCCTGTCTGTGTTATGCCTTATATCTTCTAGATCTTTAGTTTCTCCTTTTTCTTTAGGATTGTTCCGAGTAAGTTTCTCTCCATCTTAAAACAAAAGCACCTTCCTCAACCTCACTTCCTATCTTGCTTGCACTATTTCTGTTTCCACAACATTTGAGAATAATTTCCACCAATTCCCTCTGATTCCTTTGGCTCCTCTCTCTTACTTGTTCTAATTTTTTTTGGGGGGGGGCAACATCATCCCAACGAAATTCCTTGCTAAGATCACCAATGACTTATGTATGTTACTAAATCAGCAACAATTTCCAAGTTCCACATTTCCTGGCTGACTGGTAGTATCTGGGCTTAACAAAACACTATGCGTCACTGGTTTTCTTTATGCTCTTCCAGTTGATCTCCTGAGTCTCCTTTTTGGTTCATTATCACTCTACCTGTTCTCAAAGTTTACTATCAGTTTTCTCGCTTTAACGACTAGGGCTAAGCTGATCTGAATCCAGGAACTTCCTCCAGGTCTCCCACATGGGTGCAGGGTCCCAAGGCTTTAGGCCATCCTCGACTGCTTTCCCAGGCCACAAGCAGGCAGTTGGGTTGGAAGTAGAGCAGCTGGGACAAGTACCAGTGCCCAAATGGGATCCCAAGGTGTGCAAGGCAAGGACTCTACCACACTGGGCCCTAAAGACTCATCTTAAAGTTTCAACTCTGCCTATTGTTTCAATTACTGTGTATAAACTGATGATTCAAATTTGGCTCTAATACAGATCTTTTCAAACTCTAGACCTTCATATTCAACACTGTACCTGCCATTTCCACAATGTTCTGTGCTATCCCCAAACCTGGTGCTCTTTCAGTGCACACCAAGTCAGTGAATACCCAATTCTCAATTCCACAAACCTGAGTGTCATCCCCACATCCCTTATTTAATTCTGATTACTTCTGTCATCAACAACAGCACCAGTATAAAACCAGTATCCCTCACTTGGATTACTGAAGCCCTTCTTTAATGATCTTCACAAATCTAATCCTGTGGCACTAACATCCATTTCTATACAGCAGCAAAATCATCTTTTAAAAGTGAAAATGAGTGGGGTGGTCATTTGATACAGTAGTTTAGAATGCTGTTTGGGATGTCTATGTGCCATACTGGAATACCTAGGTTGGATTGCCCCTAGGCTAATCCTGGCTAGTACAGAGCCTGAGCAGTGATGATGGCTCAAGTAGTTGGGTTCTTGGCACCCATAAGGAAAACCTGCCTGGGGTTGCAAGCATATGGGCTATGGATAGATGGCAATTTTCTCATTCTTTCTCTCATTGCTCTGACCCTCTGCATCTCAAATAAATAAATACAAAATTTTAAAAGATGTAAGTGATCAATTTTAGCACTCAGTGGAAGCTCAATTTAAAATTTATTTTCATTTTATTTGAAAGGCAGAGACAAAGACATGCATGGATAGACTTCTTCCAATTGCTGGTTTACTCTATCAATGCTTCCAATTTCCAACAGCCAGGGTTGGGCCATCCCAAGACAGGAACTCATAATTCAATCCAGATTTCCTACACAGATGGCGTCAACCCAAGAACTTCCTCTGCTGCTTCTCAGTGTGTGCATTAGCGGGAAGTTGATTAAGAGGTAGAGGAGCTGGGATTTGAACCAGGCACTCTTATGTGAGATGTCTGCATCTCAGGTAGTAGCTTAATTGTCCTACCCCATTCTCACTTCTTAAACCATTTTTAACATGGCCCATAAACCCTTGATCAGGACTCTCTTGTCTAGCCTCATACTGTTACATTCTGCGTTTAGTTTCTACATTCTAATCTCACTGACATTGTGTCCTTCAAAGGCTCCTTAACTTAGACCCTTTTGGTACTTTCTATACATCAGGTACTGTCCTCTAAGTATTTTATATATATATTAATTCATTTAACCCTCACAAAAACCCAGGGAAGCAGGCACTATTATTTCCGATGTACAAATAGGGAAACTAAAGCACAGAATGCTTACCCAAGGTACACATATATCTAATTTTAGAGCCAGGGGGTAAAACTTGGGCAGTTTGGTTCATAAGCACACTTAGCCACATACACACTCTTATGTATCTAATCTGAGATATCTTCCCTGTGTTAGTGCTATTTGATGTGAGATATTTGGAATTGGGTAGAACTATGCAGAGAAGTAGGACAATCAAGGAGAAGCAGAGTATATGGTAATGTTCTCCTAACACATTATGTGTAGTATACTATCGCGGTTTATAATTACATATGATGATTATGTGGTTAATGTTTGTTTCGTACCAGACAATAATCTCCATGCTCCATGAAGCCAGAGACTATATCTGCTTTGCGAAATAATGTATCTAGCATAGTACCAGGCATGTAATAGTATCCAACATATATTTATTGCAGGGAAGAAGGACCAAATAAACATCAGAAAGAAGGAAGAACATCTTGGACACAGGAAAAAACATGAAAGGAAATGGGGAGTAGAACTGAGTATGGCATATTTTTGGGGAAAAGTTTCATTTATTTATTTATTTTCCTGAAAGAGAGAGCCCGCTGTGGTAGCCTAGTAGCTAAAGTCCTCACCTTGCATGCACCAGGATCCCATATGGGTGCCAGTTCGCATTCCGGTTGCTTTGCTTCCCCCTTCTAGCTCCCTGCTTGTGGCCTTGGAAAGCAGTCAAGGATGGCCTAAAATCTTGGGACCCTGCACCTACATGGGAGACTGAGAAGAAACTCCTGGCTCCTTGCTTTGGTTTGGCTCAGCTCTGACTGTTGCGGCCACTTGGGGGTGAACCTGTGTATAGAAGATCTTTCTCTCTGTCTCTACTCTTTCTACATCTGGCTTTTGAACAAAAATAAGATAAATATTAAACACAAAGTTACAGATAGAGAGGAAGAGATAGAGAGAGAGAGAGATTGAGAGAGAAAGAAAGAACCTGCATCCACTGGTTCACTCTCCAGATGGCCACAATGACTGGGGCTGGACCAGGTCAAAGCCAAGAGCTTCCTCCAAATCTCCCACATGAATAACACGGGCCCAAGCACTTTAGGCTTCCTCTGTTGCTTTTCCCAGGCCATTGGCAGAAGTTCATCAACCAGGATTTGAGCCAGCAGCCACATGGGATTCTGGCATTGAAGCTGGTGGCTTTAATCTTGATTCATAACGCCAGCTCTGAGAATCGTATTTTTAACATGTAAATGATAATTTCAAATACACTACTTATATAAAGGGTCCCTGGCCAAAGTTCACAAAGGGGCAGGATTTAGTGCAGTGATTAAGAAACTCCTTGGACATGCACATCCCATGTCAAAGTGCCTAGGTTCAAATCCCAGCTTTGTTCTCCATTCCAACTTCCTGCTAATACACATCCTGAGAGGTAGCTCATAGCTTTGGCTGGGCCCAGTCCTAGCTGTTGCATGCATTTGGTGAGTAAACCAGTGGTTGGAAGATCCATCTCTCTACCTTTCAAATAAATAAGAACTAAAAGAAATATTGATAGAAAATGAATATTACGAAAAAAATCAATATGGATTGTAAAACTTTTCTTTATTAAAATGAACATCTCTATAATTTCATTTTGCCCTCTACTGTGGCCACTAGGAGAGGAAGTATTAATGGAAAAGAAAAGAGAAAAGAAATTCATTTAACAGTATTATCACAGTGGAGGAATATCATGAAAGGAGTAGGTCTGGGCAGCAGGAAAATGCTAGATTTTCAGTGGAAAGAGTATTCTAGAAGCTGGAACGCAAGAAAAACTGACTTCTACAAAAATGTATATACTTAATTCCCATCTGCTTGGCTCTTACCAAGGCTAACAGAGTTGTTCCACAACCAGTCATACTGATAGCTCCTAATCAGCTACCGCTTCCACACCTGTAACAACGATCTCAGACCATGTATGTACTTTGCAAGCCACCCCTTTGCCTTCTACTTAACAATCTGATGACCTTACATTCTATCCCACTGAGAAGATTGGGCTGAAAATCCTTCCATTTCCTTTCCCCTCCCCCCTCCAAAGTAGCCTTGGTGTATTCTTCCTAACCTAACCTCTTTTCTTCTAGCCTTGGGAACAGATAGCATCTTCACTGCCTGGAGCAAATCTTTCTTTGTGTTTAGGATACCAGCTACTTATGAAACTAGTCCTTGGTCTCAGTGCCAGCCTTTCCCTACTGGCTCTTTAAATCATTTAAGTCTCTTCCATATATTAAAGACAGAGACCCGCATTTCTTGATCCTTGGCTACCAGCCTATTCTTTTCTTGCCTCGCCTTCTTGACAAAAGAGCCTGTCAGGGATGGTGTCATGACAGAACAGGCTAAATCTCCACCTGCAGTGCCAGCATTCCATATGGATGCTGGTTCGAGTACTGGCTACTCCAATTCCAATCCAGCTTCTTGCTGGTGTGCCTGGAAAAGCAGTGGAGGATGGCACAAGTCCTTGGGCCCCTGACCACATGGGAGACCCAGAAGAAACTCCCAGCTCTGGCTTCAGTCTGGCCCAGATCCAGCCACTGTGGCCATTTGCAGAGTGAACCAGCAGATGATCTCTATGTCTCTCCTCTCCGTAACTCTGCCTTTCAAATAAGAATAAATACATCTTTTAAAAGAAAAGAAGAAAGAACCTGTCAGCAGTGACCTTCGCTTATTCCCTGACCGTTTTCTCACTAAGGTCACTGACAGACCCCTTGCTGATCAAAATCCAGGAACACACTTCAATCCTTAATTTACACTTCCTTAAATGTATACTTTTGACCCCACTCCATGAAATGTTTACTTGGTTCCCATGTATTCTTTCTGTCTACTCCTTATTAGTCACTCCTTTCGTCATTTCTTAGATGTGAGTTCCCCAAAGTTCTGATCTTGACCTTGTTTGCTTTTTCAATCACTCATTCAGCAAACATTTGTTGAGTACCTTTAATGTGTCAGACACTCTTGGATCTCATCTCCATAGCTTCAGATACCATCTAAATGCTAATGACTCTCACATTTCTACCTTCACCTCATCACTCTTTATTAAACCCAGCTAGCCAGCCTCCTTTGACTATTTCCACTTGCATGACCCTCAAGCCCTTCAAATTAAAATGCCCCAAAATGAACTCATCATTGCTTTTTTCCTGTCTTTCCTCCTGTAGTCCCTGATTTGAATGATTAGCACTATCATTTGCTCAGTTATCCAAGCAAGAAACTTGAGTACCTTGACTCCACTCACCCCTCTTTTCCCACATCAGAATCACTAAGTAAGACCTATACATTCTTTTTTCTTTTTTTCCCCCCTCTTATTCTTCCCTTTCTCTTCATGGCTACTGCTACTGTTCTTATTTCAGGTCATACTCTCATTTGGTTTATTTGAGCAGCCTAATTTATTTTCCTACTGCTAGTCATGCCTACTTCTCACCTACTTTCTCTACACTATCTGGGGTGATCTCCCTGAAATACACATTCCATCATATTGCCCTCTCAAAAATCCTGGTCTTTATTGCTGTCGGGTTGAATTCTAAATTCTTCAACAAGTCATATAAGGAGCCCAGGGTTCAGCCTCTGTCTACCTCTACTGCCTCATCTTTCACTGCTCAGTTCTTCATCCCAATCTGAAATGGACAGTGAACATGATAACAGGAGTTATTTTAGGAGGCCCCCAAACTAACATAATGCTTAACCAACATCTCAAAATTTCCAATAAGAAGCTCCATCATCCCGTTCACATATCAGTAATTTTTCCCACATAAGTTTAAGTTCTTCATACCTGTTGTTTCAGATGGTTAAGTTCAGCTGTCTGGGGATCAATATTAATAACGGGTTTGTTCTTGATTTTTCTTGCTCTGTCAGCATAGCGAAGGGTATTCAATGTTTCCTCTAGATTGGAATCAGCAGGACTCACGCAGGCTATCATAAGAGTATGGCTGTTACCGCCCAGAGAATCTGAAAAAGAACCATAAAGAACAATGGAGGGAAATGAAACCAAAAAAGTAGGATGCAAGCAAAGCTGTCCATTTGGGTTGATGATTTCAAACAAAGAGATACATGAAAATTCTTTGCTGTCTGTGTCAATACAAAATAAAGATTTCTGATGTGTGAAATGATATTGTTTAGGAGCCTATCACACGTGTTCCCATTCATAAGCAAGACTACGATTCAGTAGTTAACCAAGTTAAAACTAGGGCCTGGCCCCAGTAACATAAGAGCCACTACTGGGGTAAAACATCCTAGGATGCCCTCTCAAGAAGAGTAACTCTCCAGGAAATTCTATTTGGCAGTGCTGATCATTAAAGAAAAAGCAACCAAGTTCATTTTCAGGTATAAAGTACGAAGTACAGCTGGCACTCTGAACATTTCTTGGCTCTCAAAGTCTTATATGATGACATCCTGTCTATTATTATCATAGAAACCTTACTGCCAACAGTTGTATGTATCAATTAGACAGCTGTGAAGCCATCATCAACGAACAATTGGCTTTTTAACCTGTTGTGTCTTTGCTTTCTTAGCACTATCATTCTGAATTATTCTCTCATATTTAGGAGCACTTTGGGCTTACCTTGAAGTAGTCGAGTCAGCTTGGAATCTCTGTAGGGCACAAAGCCACCCTTTTTATCATCTCCAAGTGCACTGATTACATTTCCCAAGCAAAGAAGGCCTCGATTAATATTAATACCTAACAGTAGGAAACAGAATTTAAATCGCTTGGTAAAGCATCTAATAAATACTGACACGGTCTGCTGAGAAAATTTTGAGAAAAAGATTCTATAGTAATATTGTCATCAACTGAAAGGAAATTTCTTAACCCTGTTCACTTGTGAGACTGCCTCTTAAAGTTTAAAAGACAAAAGTCCAAATGTTGGGTGGGTATGCACAATTGAGAACATTAGTACTTCTCACCCTTTGCCATGGAAACAAAGCAGACAGATAAGTATCACCATGACAACCACCATCTGTATAATTATTTACTTTTTATAATCATTAGCACAGTCCTTAAATGAAAGCCATGAAACTGGATAATTTTCAACCCAATTTTTGCCATCCTGTTATTATTTTTACTATCATTCTCAGCTTACCTTTATCTCAGAGGTTAAATGGCTTGCTTAAGGCCACTTCTAGAAAGTAAGCAGTGGGTCTGAGATTCCAACCTAGGATTTCAGTCAGGTCCTATACTCTATCATCCCAGAATCCATGTCCCCTTTGCTATAAAAAGGTAAAATTCTTTTCCACCTAATTGCAAGGCTTGCTTTTTAAACAGTTTACTAATCTCTGAGGTCCCAGTAAAGAACCTACCTCCCCATTAAAGTATCTGTGGAAAGATTATACAGTATAATGGCTAAATGTATGGCTTTGGTGTCAGATGGGTCTGAGGTCTGATCCTGGCTCTGTCACTGATCAGCAACATGATCTGGGGTAAGTGCCTTATAAAATGAGGTAAATCTGGGGAAGGCATTTAGCTTAGTGGTTAAGACACAGGTCAGGATGCCTGTTCGCCACATCACAGTACCTGGATTGGATACCTAGTCCAGCTCCTGACTCCAGTTTCCTGCTAATGCAGACTCTGGGAGGCAGCAGGGATGGCTCGAGCACTTGGGCTCCTGCCACCTGCGAGGTCTGGATTGAATTTCCAGCTTCAATGCTGTGCAATCTCAGCAGCTTCAGATGTTTGGAAGACAAACCTGTGCATGGGAGCTCTGTTTCTTTTTCTCTAAAAATATTAAAACGAGGTAAGTCTATCCTTAAATAAGATATTAGATAAAAGAGTACTGCAAAATGCAGTATGTGTTGCAATGAGTAAAGTCACTGTTTACAGCACCAGCATTCCATATGGGTGCCAGTTCATGACTCAGCTACTCTAGTTCTGATCCAGCTCCTTGCTATCGCACCTGGGAAAACAATGTGGGGTGGCCAACTGCTTGGGTCCCTGCACCCACGTGGGAGACTAGCTCCTGACTTCAGACCTGCTGAACTCCAGTCATTGTAGCAATTTGGGAAGTGAAATAGTAAATAGAAGAGTGAGTGTTCTCTCTGTCTCTCTCTCTTCTTGTCTGTTTCCCAATAAATACATTAAAAAAAGAGAAGAAGAAAAAAGAAAGTAGGCCTAATGGGAGGTCATCAGATGCTCTTTGGAAGGCAATGCTTGTGAGAGGTTGCTTACAGCAGACTGAGTCAGGCCCATTCCGGTCCCTGGGTCCGCACGGGATCCTTCCTCTTGCATGTCTTCTGCTACCCACTGCCTTTGTCAGATGCCAGACCAGTGAGGCTCCCTGATCTTGGACCCTATAAAACCATGAGCCCATAAAAGTTTTCTTCCTCGAGAAGTAGCTTTTCTTGTGTAGTTGTTATAGTGATGAAAAGCTGAATAACACACACATTATGAGAAAAAAAAATATGCATAAACTTCAGAATTTTTCCTACTCTCAAACCTTTTATATTCTATTTTCTACGAACATGTTTAAGTTCATGGAAGTAGGGCATTGAGGAAGGCCACAGCCTCTGCTGCCATGGATGGTACTGTAATGGCTTATGAGGTCCTGGAGGGCACTAGCCAGGACCCCTTTTAAGATTTACTTGTTTGTTTTGAAAATCAAAGCTACACAGAGAAGTAGGGAGAAACAAAGAGATCTTTCATTCAATCTTTCATTCAATGGTTCACTCCCTAGGTGGCTAAATGGCCAGCGCTGGGCCAGGCAACAGTCAGGAGCCAGGAACTGCATCCGGGTGTCCCATGTGAGTGTCAGGGAAACAAACACGTGGAGCAAACCTCTCACTGCTTTTTCCAGGCCATCTGTTACCGGATCAGAAGTGTAGCTACACCAAAATATCTGTCCCAGCTAGGCTAGTGCTGGTATCCCAGCCACTAGAAGCATGAGCAATACATTTCTGTTCATCAATGAGGTCATCTAAGGTATTATAACAGCACGAATGGATTGACACAAACGACATTACTGTAAGCTCTACTTTACCTTTTATTTGTTGAGACATACTTAGTATTACATCATAACCTGAAATTATCATACTTACAAGATTTCAAACCTCAAATTCCTGTCTACATCCTTCATGGATCCTGTTTTTAACCCTTATTGTCACCACCAGTTTAAGGACATTTTATAACATTCTCAGTAGATTAGGCTCTTCCTGTCCTAAAAGTACCTATTCTAAACCTGGTGGTCAGTCATTTCAGTTCACAGGGTTCAGGGCCTTGATGCCTTCCCACCATATCAAGTCCTAACCATAGATTAAACCAGTTGCGTGTATGTCCAGGTACACACATGCACACATGGGCCTATTGGAGGCTATAGTCTTGAAGAACTAGCATAACTAAATGTGTTGGATCCATCGTAAGCATGCTATGTGACCTTAGCTGCATCCTTAGCAGTTAACAGTTCTTTCTTTCTCAGTTCCACCTAACCTAGTCTAACTCACTGTGGCAGTTATTTGAAAAACTCATCATTTTCAAGACTGGGGGGCTACATTCCCTCTTTATTAGCAGACGATTTCACCGAACATTTTGCAAGATGAGAGTGATCCTTCAGGGCTCCCTAGTCTGCCCTCTCCTCACCTCGTACTCTTTCCTTTGCTGTTACTCATTTCCTCTTCCTTCCTCTTTCAAAGTAATTGCCTTTATTTGCAGGGCTCTGCTTTTTGCCTCTGCCTATGTCTCTATTTCCTCCATTTTCCCTGGGACGCAGGATCCTTTGAACTTCCCCCTCGTTTACTTAGATCTTATTTTCTCTTCATGAATTCCTTCCTTTCAGTCTACACGCATATTCAAATCTCCCTAATCGAAAACAAAAACAATTTTCTAAAGAAACCATTCCTTTCATTTCGTTCATTGCCAATGGAAAGAGATGCCATTTTGCAGAGCCATTTATTCTACCTCAAATGGGAAAGGAGAGCCTGTTTGGATTTATCAAGCCTATTTGCCAATATCTGTACTATTCTCTGTATCAGACCATTCCTTTCTTTTCCTTTTAAGCCAAACAGAACATTGTGTGATCTTATCGGTCCACATCCCATTCAGACATAAACAAGAGATGACTGAGGCTTTGAAGGCTTTCAGCAAAATTTCCACCTTTGATTTTATGCAGAAACAAAACAAAACTCCAGATGAACCCTGAGAACAGTCAATCTATAGCTAGTATGATCTAAGCAAGAATTATACAATTGGGCCTGCTGCACTAGCCTAGTGGCTAAAGTCCTCACCTTGCATGCACCGGGATCCCGTATGGGCATTGGTTCTCATCCTGGCAGCCCTGCTTTCCATGTGGCGTGAGAAAGCAGTAGAGGATGGCCCAAAGCCTTAGGACCCTGCACCCATGTGGGAGACCCAGAAGAAGCTCCTGACTCCTGGCTTCAAATCGGCTTAGCTCCAACTGTTGCGGCTACTTGGGGAGTGAATCAGTGGATGGAAGATCTTCCTTTCTGTCTCTCCTCCTCTCTGCATATCTGTCCAAATAAAATAAATAAATCTTAAAAAAAAGAATCATAAAATCATAAGACTTATGGATAAAGTGAGTTATTCCCCACTCCACTGAATGGGAGTCAAGGCTTTGAAATAGAAAGGAGCTAAGAGACCTCAATGTCTCTCTGGAAAGAAATCATCAGAAGATAGGTTGCGATTCAGCAAAAATAAGGCATTAAAACAGTAAGCTCTAGACAAGGATGGAGTAAACAGCATCAGCCTTAAATGTTCTGAGCAAGGATGACTTTAGAGAAAAATCTCCAAATACAATTCCACAACCAGAAGTTTTCTGTACGACTGAGAACAGATCAAACAGTAATAAGGTTGAGAACACTGCCCAATAGATTTGGGTGTTTGTTCACTATGGCAAAAAAACAAAAGATTTTTAATTTCTTGAGAGTAGGGACTATGACTTACTCATCTTTGTTATCTCTAATACCTAGCATAGTCTCACAATTACATATAAATACATTAAACGTTCAACGAACAAAGGACTCAAATGTTTGGCGTGAGAAGAGACTCCAGGACTGTTCAGTGTTTTTATGCAATGCCATGTGGGCATAGCTCATTGCAAGTATTCAACAGGCACGGAAAATAAAGCTTTGGGCATCAGGAAAGTATTTGGTTTGATTTAGGAAGTCAGGCTGACACATCCTTGCTGTTTGTTGGAGGATAGGTTAGATGGTGAGATAATGAAGAAGGAACACTGCAGGAAGTGGGGTAGGTCTGCATTTATACTGCTGAATAGTATTTCATGACATGGGTATACCGATTAAAGCATTCACCTGCTGAAGGATATGTGGATTCCTCACAATTCTAGGCTGTTTTCAATTACAGCAGCTGTAACTTTCATCTACGGGTTACTGTGTGAACACACATATTCATCTCTCCAGGATAAATGACCAGGAGTACAAAGCTTGTACGTATGGTAAACACATGTTAAAGTTTGTAAGTAACTGCTGGGCTAATTTCCAGAGTGGGTGCACCATTTTATATTCTCACTGGCAGTATATAAGTGATTCAATTTTTTCATAGTCTCATCAGCAAATAATATTGTCACCAGTCATCCTTGAAAAGAGCAATGCAGTGGTAGCTTTTTATGGCTTCTATTTGTATTTCCTTAATGAATAAGATGTTGAACATCTTTTGATGGGCTTGTTGGCAACTGTAATATCCTCTTTGGTGAAATAAGTGTTAAATGTCTTTTGTCC